GAAGGCCAAGGCGAGGACGAACCCGCCGCCCAGCAGCCCGAGGAGCAGAAGCCCATGGCCGAGAAAGTCCACGAGGCCGAGTACGGCCTAATCCGCGTGCAGTCCGAGGCGCCCGCGCACTACACCCACCTCAAGGTCGGTGGTTGCTACAGTTGCCCCTACCCCCAGGTGCCTCCAGTCCTTCGCTCCGTTTGGGAGCGAATCCTGGAGGCACCCTGGACAGGGGGCACTTGTAGCGACGCCCGCCAAGGTCTCGAGGATCGGCGGGGGCGTCGCGGTGGAGTAACCTCAGGAAGGCATTAAGAAACCCCCCTGGGTTATTCAAAGCACCCGGTTTTCTCAATATTCCAGGCGGGCAGTTTTAGCCGAACGATACACTTAGCACCCGCCGCACACAGAAAACAAAATCCACCATCGGCGGCCCCCCCACTAAGCCCTGCTAAGCCCTGGTAAGCCCTGCTACGCCCTGCTAAGCTACGCTTGGCCCTGCAAGGCCCTGCAAAGCCCTGCAAAGCCCTGCTAAGCCCTGCTATGCCCTGCTACGCCTTGCTAAGCCCTGCTAAACTGCTTGGCAGGAGCAAATCTGCGCTTGGCAGGCCTTAGCTAGGCCCCGAGTCCCCTCAGCCAGGTCTTCCGGTGCGGCCATAACGCTCCAGGGTGCGGGGGCGTTATAATCCACCGGAAACGGGGGGGGGGTTCTTAATGCCTTCCTGAGGTTACTGCGACGCCCTCAAGCAGCAGTCCGAGAACGCCACGCAGGCCTACAAGAGCCACATGCGAACTCACACCTGTGCCCCACGATTTTAAAGGAGGCGGTGGGGTTCACTGTGTTCGGGAGCTGCCGAACGAAGTGAACCCCACCCTCCTTCTCAGAAGTCGTGGGTCAGGTTCGCATGTGGCCTCCCAGGGCCGCCACGGGGATCCTCCGCAAGCTCGGCGCCATTGGCCCTGGCGAAACCTGCCCTGCGAGGAACAACGAAATGTTCCAGGCCGGCGCATGGTCCGGCGGCCTGTGGACGAGCCGTTGGATCGAACGCGCCCTGCGCGAGATCCGAAGCGAGCGCCGCCAAGCGCCCGTGCGCATCAACACGATGTGCGCCCGAGGCAACGAGTGGATCGACAAGCTCAAGGAGGCCAGCGACAACGACTTGGCCAAGGCCAAGGCCAAGAGCAAGGCCAAGTGCAAACCCTTCAAGGACCCCACGGCACTCGAGCCGAAGCACGCCACCTTCGAGGAGGCAGACGCTGCCGCCCAGGCCTGCACCAAGTGGCTCCCGTGCAAGGACGGCCCCAAAGGGTGCAGAGCCTGCAGGGGCGAGTAATTTGAGGTTGTGCGCAAGAGAAGTCTCTTGGCCAGGAGCGCCAAGGACCTCTCTTGCGCAGGCGGGTTGTTACCACGAGCCTCGAGATCTCTCGAATCAGTCTTGTGCCAAGATCTACCAGGTCAGTCTACAAGAGCGCCCAGGATCATCACCATCATCATCATCAGCATCATCATCATCGTCATCGTCATCAATATCATCATCATCATCATCACCACCATCATCATCATCATCATCATCATCATCGTCATGATCATCACCATCATAACATCACCTTCGCCGAAAAATCGTTGCTCATCACCGCCGCCCCCCCGACCTTCTTTACTTCCGGGGATTAGTATATGGGGCAGTCGGTTCAGCGGTGAATGGAGGCAGCTGCTCGCAGGTCGAGCGGCTCCCCGCGTCAAGATGAGCGTGCGCGGGGGATCGGCAGCTGCGTGCGGCCGCTCGCGCGGCAGCTGCTCGACCCATCGAACGGACTTCCCGCGACGTTTTTTTTTACAGCCGCGGGCGGAAGCGCCAGCGGCGGCGGGTAACGGTCGGGCTGCGGCCGCTACAAAACTTCCCGCGACGTATGAAGTATGCGGTCTTATTGTGCCCGGCCGTTTGCAGGTGGACACCGTGCGGGTAGGGGCACGCGGTCGCTCGTGTGCGCTCACGGGCGCGTCGATTCGCGAGCGCGTGGAGGACGGAGGAGGAGGAGGAGGACGGAGGAGGAGGAGGAGGGGGAGGAGGAGAGGGAGGGAGGAGGAGGAGGAGGAGGAGGAGGAGGAGGAGGAGGAGGAGGAGGAGGAGAAGCAGGAGGAGGAGGAGGAGGAGGAGGAGGTGGAGGAGGAGGGAGGCGGAGGAGGAGGAGGGGGAGGAGCGAACGACGAGTCCTTCCAGGGAGAGGACACCTCGCGCTACCGAGGCGGCGAAACGCGCCGGGCTCCCGTGCCCGCGAGCCCGGCACTCCCTGCCTGTCGTCCAGCTAAACGCAAAAGAGGGGGCAAACAGCAGCAACGACAAGACTAACAACAACAACAACAACAACAACAACAACAACAACAACAACAACAACAACAACAACAACAACAACAACAACAACAACAACAACAACAACAACAACAACAACAACAACAACAACAACAACAACAACAACAATTACTAGCACGTGGGGACACTCCGTTCTCACCAGTGCCAGGGTTTTCATAGGAGGCGGGCAATACCCCCACTTTGTGGGGGGGCCGGTTCAAGCTCTACCAAATTTCCAAACGACTCTTCGCCACCACCCACACCCAGCTTCCCGCCCTATGACGTTCGGACACCTCACTTCGTGGCCTGCGGACGACCTTGGCTACTACACTGGCGCATGGGTACAATGACTTGTTGTGGTAACATTTTCTGTAAGCTAGCTTAGTATACGACTTTTCCCCCTGCAATTGAAGATTTCGGCGTGCGCGCGCGAAGAAAAAACGAATGTGTCCCATATGGTATTATTTGACAGGGATGATGGCCCTGGCAGGCGCGCAACCGTTGTTGCAGAAGTTCGAAGCACGTGAAAAAGTTGCTCGCAAGAGCCCGTTTGACAGAAATGTTGAAAAAGTATTGGGTTTCCTAAGAAATCCGCAAGAGCGCGCGGGATGAATTTTTGAAACTTTTTTTTGAAAAACCATTGGGTTTTTCATGTTTTTATGTTAAAATCGCTACGAAAACTAAGGTTTTGGAAGGATTTCATCTTGCGCGCGCGAGTGTGCACTTCGTGTCATTTTTTGCAAAGGATTCTTGAAGTTTGGTTATGTTAGAACAAGACATGTCATTTTATATTGTTTTTTGACAGGGAAAGCGGGCGTCAACAAAACAACCGGATCCGGACTCCCCCGTTTTGCCTGAGACTTCCTCACGAAAATGATGAAAATGTGGCTGCGGCCTAGGCGCGGCGAGGGGGGCGTGCACCAGGGGGCCCAACAATAATTATTCTTTAGAAGTAATAATATTCAACAACAACAACAACAACAACAACAACAACAACAACAACAATAACAACAACAACATCAACAACAACATCAGCAGCAGCAACAACAACAACAACAACAGCAACAACAGCAACAGCAGCAGCAACAGCAACAACAACCACAGCAACAACAACGACAACAACAACAGCAACAGCAACAGCAACAGCAACAGCAACAGCAGCAACAACAACAAGAGCAAGAGCAACAGCCCCAAACAACACATACAACAACAGCAGCAACAACAACAACACCATCAACGACACAACAACACAAACACCAAAACCACCACCAACAACAACATCAACAACAACAATAGCAACAGCAGCAACAACACCTTCAGCAACAACAGCGGCAACAACGACACCAGCAGCACCAACAACAACGACACAACCAACAACAGCAGCAACAAGAACACCCACAACATAACCAACAGCAGCAGCAGCAACAGAAATAATAACAGCAACCACACCAACAACAACAACCATAACAATACCAACCACATAAGCACCAACAATATAATCAACAGCAACAACCACAACAGCAACAACAGCAACAGCAACACAAGCAAAAACAACAACAGCAAAAAACAACACCAACAACAACAACAACAACAACATCAACAACAACAAGAGAGGAACACACACAACTGCACAACACAAAAAGAACCTCTGGAGGTCCGCGCGGACTTCTTGGAGCCGCGCTGGGACCCCGCCCCTGCCAGGGGCGGCGCCGGAGGCACCGCCAGGGGGGGCCAAGCGCAGGTCCAAGAAGTTCGCGCGGGGCGCCAAAAGTCCATGTTTGGCGGGATGCAAATGGGGGGATAAGTCCAGATGGGGAGAGAGGCGCAAACGAGGTACAAATTGTACCTACCAATTTGTACCGACGGCACGCAGACAAGCTACAAATTGTACTTTTGACAACGTCCGCGACATGTGCGAGGATGTTAACGGGGGGTGGAGCAGGTACAATTTGTGCTTGCAACCCGCAGAGAAAGTACACATTGTACCCCAACAAAACGGTACCGGATACTCATCCCCCCATGTCCTGATCCCCCCATCGCCATCCGGCCGAAATGTTCATGGCGCTTCTCTCCTTCGAACGTCCATGGCATCGCGGTCCGGACTCCCGTGCCCCTCCGAGGAACCCGCGCGGAGCTCCGCAGGTTTTTCTGCTCACGCCGCTCTTGGGAACAGGGAGAGGCGACGCCAGCACCGGCAGGGCGAGGAGGCGCGAGGAGGCCAGGGGGAGTCTCCCCTGGTGGTGTGGGCCCCCCCTCTCGCTCGAGACGCCCCCCGCGTCCGGCTCGGGGAGGCACCGCGCACCTCCTCGCTGGAGGAGGGCCCCCCGGTGGTGTTGGCATCGCTCCTCCTCCCTCCGATCTCCGCTCCTCCTTGGAACACAAAGGAGACGGCCTCCTCGCCATCGCTCGGACGTCCATTCCCGGTGTTTTTTTCGGTTTCGTGCGTGGTTTTCTCGCCAAATGATCAAGGATGCTCCTCGATGGCCCTCGCCGAAGGAAAAATGCACACGTCCGAGCGATGCCAAGCCTCTTGGCACGCCCGAGGTGCGGGGGGGGGGGGCGGCGCGGCGTGTCCCCGCGCCGCAGCAGCGCGCGGAGGGCCCGCGGAGACGCCCCAGGGAGAGGTCGGCCCGAGGCCCGGCCGGGCGGGGGGGGACCGCGTGCCTCGAGCCGGATGGAGTTCCCCCAGTTGTCCAGCTGCTTCGCGATCGCGTCCAGCTCCTGCGCAGCGAGGGAAAGAGAGAGAGAGAAGGAGAGATCGCACATCTGTAATGCGTTTTCTGTCTTACGATGTCTATGTATTGCCATATGGACAGGGAGAGAAAGAGAGAGAGAGAGACAGAGAGAGACAGAGAGAGAGAGAGAGAGCGAGACAGACAGACAGAAAGACAGAAAGACAGACAGACAGACAGAGGGCAAAAAGGAGTGACCGAACTCCCGATTCTGGTGACGATCGCCGCCGCCGTGTCCGAACAGTTGACCTCCCAAAAGCGCCCCCGACGCCAGGGATATGACCTCGATCCAAACGAGGCCCGAGTCGCCCAACTTCGCGCCTCCCGCCCCGCGATGCGCGACCCGCGACCGCCTTCGCCCCCCGACTGGAGAAGGGCCACCGCTCTGGCCCGGATCGAGACTCGGCGGCGACGACAGGGGCGAATCGCCCAGGGGCGGGCATTACACGCATTCGCCCGGGAGCCTCTTAAGAGCCTTCGACGGCGAACAAGTGTATGTTATACCGTTCTTCGCCCGTTAAGATAGGGGCGAATAGCCCAGGGGAGAGCAATACATGTATTCAGGTGCGCCGGTGATCTGTGTCTTCGAATTCGAAGACACAGATCACCGGCGCACCTGAATACATGTGTTGCTCTCCCCTGGGCTATTCGCCCCTATCTGAACGGGCGAAGAGCGGTATAACATACACTTGTTCGCCGTCGGGGACGCCTGCCCCAGCGCGGCTGGAAAGTTTATACCCTCACGGCGGCACCGTAAGGGTATAAACTTTCCAGCCGCCCAGGGGCAGGCGTCCCCGACGCTGCCGAGCGCTCCCATGCGCTCCCAGGCGCTGCCAAGCGCTCCCAGGCGCTCCCAGGCGCTCCCAGGCGCTCCCAGGCGCTCCCAGGCGCTCCCAAGCGCTCCCAGGCGCTCCCAGGCGGCGAAAAAGTGTATGTTATACCGTTCTTCGCTCGCTGACGATCGTCCTCTGAGAGGACGCGCTGCCTTCGCACCCCTCCGCGGGCGACCCCAGCGTCTGCAAGCCGACGGCGCCCGCTGGCCTGCACCGGCGGGTCGCTCCGCCGTGCGGCCGCCCGAGCGCGCCGCCGATCCACCTTTGGCGTGCTTGCCAACGAGGGGCAGCAGACTCAGGTCGGGCATGTCCTCCTACCGTCGGGGCGTTGACCTAAGGAACGATAAATAAGGAACGAGGCCCCTTTCTCCAATATATGAAAGTCCGATGTTCCATGGCAAACCTCAGGAAAACATAGGAAAACCCGAGGAACACTGTAAAACAAATAAGGAACACGGAGCCCCTCCCCAGAAAAAGGGTTCCTTCTTCAGGGCCCCAACTCTACAGGCGGATGCTTCACGGAGGACAAAGAGCAGCCAAAAAGTGTCCTCCAAAATGATAGGAAAAGTGATCCAAACGTCGCCGTGCAGACTGCTTCTGCTACTGTCTTTGCATAGGTCCTCCTGTGGAGGGACACGCCCGACTTCAGAGTACAGGGCAGTTTTTAATACATGGGATGTTTTAAGATGTTGGATTTTAATACATGGTGAATCTATGACTAAAATGATGCATGAACTCCTCGTGGTTTTTAATTCTAAATGCCTGCACTTGTAATACATGATCCGCACGCGGAGCATGTACAGTAGGGGCCCGACCACAAGAAATCTTCCACAAGAAACCCAACCCTGAGACCCCAGGACGTCCATTGGTTTTTGGTGTGGGAACGTCACGCTTTCCACAGCAAAACCATTGAAACCCAAGAAACCCAGGGCACCCTGCAGGCAGGCAGGGTGTTTCTTGACATGCGCCCCAACTGTACCCCTACCCCCCACGATTTCTGATGGGGGAGGGCTAGGGAAACAAGAAGTGGCATGAACATAAAAACTCGGAGGTCCGCGCGGATTTCTCGGATCGGCGCTGGACCCTCCTCCCCGGCGCGCGGAGCGCGCCAGGGGCGGCGCCGGAGGCGCCGCCAGGGGTCCCCAGCCCCGATCCGAGAAATCCGCATGTACCGGTACCGCTGCCGGGTGCACTTGAACGCCCCGACGGGCCCTCCAACCGGCGAAAAAGCCGTTCCAAAACGTGCCCTCCAACATGAAGTGGCTGGCTAAGATGTTTAGTGATTGTGGTGCAATCTGTTGGCTCCGGGGCCCCACCACCGCCCTGCTGCAGTGGGGGGCGACCCACAAGAGAAACCTCCCACAGGAAGCCCAACCCTGAGACCCCCAGGACGTCCATCGATGCTTGGTGCGGGAACGTCGCGCCTTCCACGACAAAACCAGAGAAACCCAGGGTGCCCTGGAGGCAGGCAGGGTGCTTTTTGGCATGGGCCTCCACTGTTCGGGAATGGACAGATTGCCCTTTAGCAACACGTGGTTTAGCGAAAACGACCTCGGGCCCAGAACTGCAGGGCGCAGGCCTGGAAAATGACGGCCGCGGCGCCCTCTCGAGAACCGAGCACGTGCAATTCACTAATCGACGTGTCAGGGTGGGGGCTCTGTCCACCCCCGAACTGTACACCACGGCGTCGTCTGGTCGGCCAAGGATGAAGGGGCCCTTGGACACACAAATATAAATACACACAAATAACAGGATTACCCATACTTTCCCATATTTTCTGAGATTTCGTCTTCCCCCCCACTTCCTATAGCTTCCCATATATTCTGGGGAATCGACGATGAATTGAGTCTGTGTGTTTTGTCCCTCCTGAATGTCCTCGTCCAGGCGCATCTTCGAAGAAAAAATCCGAATGGTCCGAAAGCTTATGTACAAAAACAGTCACACATCGTCCCCTGACCAGCTTCGAGGACTACCTGTTTGGGAGTATTCCTCCTGCAAAGAGGGACGTCCCCGACTCCGCTCTTGGCCTCCAGAGCCACGCTTCTGATCCATGCCCTGCTGTGACTGGCGGCCGGGGCGGGGGACGGCAGCAAGGGTACGAATCAAAAAACCCGCACTTACCAGCAACGGGGGCCGCTTGAACTCATGTACAGTCGGGCCGCTGAAATTAAGGAACGCCACATAAGGAACGAAGCCCCTTCTTGGCCCTGTGAGCGCCTCCGTGCCCCGGGAGGGCAAGAGGAACAGCTCTGGAGGAACCCGAGGAACGTCGAGACCCTTCCGAACCCAAACTGTTGCTTCTTTCAGCGTCCTGGCTGCATTCATAGGGGAACACAAATGGACATAAACATAAACATAAAAACTCGGAGCTCCGCGCGGATTTCTCGGATCGGCGCTGGACCCCCCGCCCCGGCGCGCGGAGCGCGCCAGGGGCGGCGCCGGAGGCGCCGCCAGGGGGATCCAGCGCGGATCCGAGAGATCCGCGCGGCCTCCGAGTTTTTATGCTTATGCCACTTCTTTCGGCGGTGGACAAAACTCCCTTCAGTAAACCTCCCCTTAGTGAAAACGGCCCGGCCTGGGACCGAAACCGACGGACCTGGACCCGCAAAAATGACGGCCGCGACGCCCTCTCGCGAACCACAAACGGCCAATTCACTGATCGACGTGTCAGGGTAGGAGGTCTGTCCACCCCCGATTTTTGCCCCCTGAAAAAAAGTTCCTCACTTCAGCGTCTTGGCTGTACGCCGGGATCCATGCGCCGGCTCGGCTGCCTCCTCCGGCCGACTGCAGGGCGGCGTGCAGGCCTCGTGCCCCTCCCGTGCCCCCCCAGGGAGGCGCAGGGCCGCCCCCGGGGAGACAGCACGACTGTGAAGGGGGGGGCCCTGGGACACACAACAGAGGCACACAAAAAAAAATGATTCCCCATAGTTTCCCAATAGCTTCGGGGTTGTTATGTCTTCCCCCCCACTGCCCAGATGTTCCCATATGTTCTTGGGAATTGACGATGAATTGTGTCTATGTATTTTTTGTTTTTTGTTTTCCTTTTTGCCTCCTGAAACTAGTCGGCGACATCCGAACCCTACCCCCGCCAACCATCGATTCTGCCCTGAATCGATGGGAGGCGGGGGTAGGGCTCAGAGTCCGCCACGTGCTCTACGAATTCTGGACCCTGCCCATCGAGATGCCTGAGTGCTTGATCGGCGAGGGTAGGGTTCCCAGACATGCGACGTCCTGTTTTTTTCAAGACGGGGTCCCTGGAAGTCCCGACCCTTGCCCTGGGACCAGCTTTTCATTCTGAATCGTTTTTTGACGGACCCGAGGCCCGGCGAGGGCCCCCGCAGGCCGAAACTTGCCAAAAACCTCCCGCCCAGATTTTTGTACGGCGCGATCATGTCTGTGTTCGTATTTCGCCGCCGAACAACTTGAGCAGGGACCGACCACCCCGGCATTTCTATAGGCCTACCACGACATGTTCGCAGAACCCAGACATGTGCTAAGATCCAAAACCGTGTTCTTCGACTATAAACCCGATAAGTCCAAACAAGCCAGTCCCAGCCAGAAATGCTCTAAGAACATCTCGTGGGAACCACATGATCGGGGGCGGCAAAGAGGGGGGCGTCAAAGAGGGGGGGGCGCAAATCATGACTGGCGGCATGTGCGCGGCCCAGCGGGGGGGCCAGGGACGTAATGAAATAAGAAGAGGTGCCATGAAATCTGGGGAAGTATCATGGCCCACGCCATGAAATCCCCCCCCCCTAGTCATTACCTCCGTCCTTTCCGCCCCGAATGAAGGCCCTCAGAGCACTGCTTGGCAGGCCTCTGGGCACGCCAGGACGCTTCGACACTGCTCGGACAACCGAGCGCCGACCCGACGGCGAGGCGGCCGAGCGGAAGGGGCCCCGGGACACACACACACACACACACACACACACACACACACACACACACACACACACACACAAAGAAACAGACACAGACATCAGGATCCCCCCTCTTTCCACATATCTTCTGGGCTCTTGTCTCCCCCCCACTTCAGATATGTTCCCAGATGTTCCTGGGAATCGCCGATTCCTTGTGTCTGTGTGTGTCTGTGTGTGTGTGTGTGCGTGTGCGTGTGCGTGTGTGTATGTGTATGTGTATGTGTATGTGTATGTGTATGTGTATGTGTATGTGTATGTGTATGTGTATGTGTATGTGTATGTGTATGTGTATGTGTATGTGTATGTGTGTGTCTGTGTCTGTGTCTGTGTCTGTGTCTGTGTCTGTGTCTGTGTCTGTGTCTGTGTCTGTGTCTGTGTCTGTGTCTGTGTCTGTGTCTGTGTGTCTGTGTGTCTGTCTGTGTGTTTTCTCCCCTCCCATCGAGCGCCGACCCCGCCCGGCGGGCCGCCGGCGGCCGAGCGCGGCGCCGCCGCGGCGGCAACGCCGCGGCGGCGGGCCGCCAGCGGCCGAGCGGTGCGCCGCCGAGCCGCCCGAGAAGCGGCCACCCGCACGCGGAGGGGCGAGATCTCGCTCTCCCCGCCCCTCGCTCGCCGAGGAAGGAGGCCTGCTCCTCGAGGAAGGCCTCCTCCCTCGAGGGAGGAGGCCCGCTCAGAGGGCCCGAGGTGCCCCTGCCCCGAAGGCATGCGAGGCACGGCGCCTCGGGAGGCGCGCGGGGGCCTCCGAGGAGCCCCGCCGCCCTCTGAAGAGGCCTCCTCCTCCTCCTCCTCCTCCTCCTCCTCCTCCTCCTTGTCGTCGTCCTCCTCCTCCTCCTCCTCCTCCTCCTCCTCCTCACTTCCCCCCCGCGCTCGCCGCCGCGCGCGCCGCCGCCGGGCCGCTGCGGACCGACGCCTGCCCCGACCGTGCAGGCACGGCCGCACGCGCCCCCGCGGGGCGCACGGGTTGCCACGGCCTCGCTGGGCCCTGCGCCCCGGGAGGGCTGCTCCGCCGAGGCCCCGTGGGGAAACAGCCACTGGGAGGTCTTCGCTGGAAGGGTCAAGGAAGGGGGGCCCTGGGACACACAAACAAGTAGACACAACAAGCATGATGCCCCATATACTCCCATAGTTTCTGGGTTTTCGTCTTCATAGTCTCCTATTTTTCCTGGATAATCGACGATCAATTGTGTCTGTCTGTGCTTTTTCCCCTCCTGAATTGAAGAGAATGAAGCCCCATTAGGGGGCTGTTACGCTGGAGCGGGCCTCGGCTTAAGCGGGATTAAACTGGATTGAGCGGAACAAAGCAGGATTAAGCCGAATGAAGCGGGATTCAGCCGAATGAAGCGGGATTCAGCCGGATTAAGCCGGATTTCGGACCAGGGCAACATCAGAATTTGACCTCCCAGGAGTTGCATCCGCAACAGTCGGCCCGTATCAGAAGGACGCACGACAAGGGTGCAAGGGGCCCTGGAGAGCCGCTTCGAAGCCTCTCGAGCGGGGCGCGGCCAGCGGAAGTGGCCAAGGATGGGCCGAAGGGGCAGGGATACAAGTGTACCCTCGGGAAGGTTGCCCATCCTTCCTATGCGGGTCGGCTGTAGGGGATTGACTGCAGAATAGATTAAAACCCCAGAACTGGATTTTCGCCGGCTGAAAAGGTACGTATAATGTTCGTAGCCCTACGAACAAGGTACGCATGTCTTCGCCACTCCCACTGGAAGAAACACTTTTGAGGCACATCCATGTCGCTTTCGATCCCCTACCCGAAAACGACAACTGCACAACACACGCAAACATTCGGAGGCTGCGCGGACCTCGGATCCGCAAGCTTGTGTGTTCGTAGAGCTCTGCCGACAGCTGGCCATGGCTCGGACGTCCACTCCCTGCGCTTTTTGCGGTTTCGTGCGTGTTTTTTTTTCGCCAAATGAGCAAGGATGCCCCTCGATGGTCCTCGCCGAAGGAAAAATGCACACGTCCGAGCGATGCCAGGACAGAGGCCGGAGTCCCTGCCCCTGCGCGCCGCTGATGCCCGCTCGCCGCTGCCGGCCCCGACCTGGCCCCGGCGCGCCGCCAGCTGCGCACCGACGCGGCAACCCGAGGACGCTCGCACGAGCCAGAGCACGGCAGAGCCCGGGGACTCCGGGGCGGCCTCCGCGAGGTTGCGCGGTGAGCGTTTTTGTTATATTCTTCGGCGTCTCGGCATTGGGCGGAAGGGGGGGGAAAGGGGGGGGATGTCTGGCTCCGGACCTTTGCTTGACGCGACTGTTTGCAACAGCGCCTGTACTCTGAGCCCTCCGGCCGCCTGAGGCCCTGCCCGCCCGCGCCCTGTCTCCCCGATTAGGGCTACTCGCGTCCCGTTTAGCTCTTGACCGGAAAGGGCCCGCTCACGACCCGCAGACCAAAAATGTTTGCAACAGTGCGTTCTATGGGAGAGACCCCACCTGCTCGGAACGGGCGCCCAAAAAACAGCCACGATCTACTCCAGGGGCGGAGGGGGGGGTGCGAGGGTCCGCGCCGATCGGAAAAACAACGAGCAAGACCACGATCACGAGCCGTCAGTGTGTCAGGAGGGCCAAGGACATTAAGGATAGGGGCTCTCTTCTGCAGATGTATCGGACCAAACCGCCCAAAAGTACTACCCCTAATGCGAAGACGGGAACCTCAGTGAGGACACGAACTTCACTATGTACGGATTATTTTATCCTCGATGATCTGGCTTTGCGACCCAGGCATTCGCCTTGTCCGTGCCCACTGCCATCCGCCGTCTCTGCCCACCCCTATCGCCTCGCCCGCTTCAGCGCAGCCCGCCTCTTTCTCGCAAAGTAGTGCTGACCCCGAGCCGCCCTGCAGGTGGCTCCGTTTCTCTTCCGCCTCCCTACGTCGCCGCCCCCCCCCCCTACCTCTGGCTCGCTCCCGACTCCGCGAGACAGTTCGTTCCTGCCTTGCAGACAGCTCATGTTGCTGCAGATGCCGTCGACACACACACACAACCCGCTCTGTATGCCTGCGCTGTGCTGCAGGATAGAAAGGACACCCATCACTGCAGAGGAATAAAATCATGCCAGCAAACCGACGGCGGTCGCCTGGCGCTGGCTGGTCGAGAGGCACCAGTCGGGCACTGCCTTCCATCGCCGCATCGCGCACCTTGGGCAAATGTGGGAGAGCAATCTCAACATCAGTGACACGCCACCGTGGGAAACTCACCAGCGCGTCAATGACGAGCTTGTTCATCATCAAATCTGCCCTCGACACTTTTGATAACAACATAACTCGGGGTGTTGGGGTGATTTCGTTTAGCGCTGTTGAGTCCCACCAAGAAGACTGACCAACGCTAAACATGCTATCGTGTTTAGCTTCGCCTGGTCGCGTTAACCGCTCAATCGATTGCGTTGTGTTACATTGCCGTCTACGTCGTCCTTAGTTCTTTCACCTTTGCGTCCAAGTATCTCTGCTTTCTGATTACATTCCTGCTGATCTTCTCTGCTCGTCGCTGCTGGCTGGTCGCGGGGCCTCTGGGCCTCTTCTGCGCTAGTGTTAGGCCGGCGTTAGGGCGTCTGGGGCGAGTTGGCAAGAAAGCAAGGCACACAACAACGAAATGAGGATCCACAGCGACGGGCCCGAAAATGCTATAACAAAAGCGTAGCTCCACACGCAAAACAAACATAACGTTGTTGCAGCCCCTTTAGACTTTCAGGGGCCCAAAGTGCAAAACGTTCATAAAAGAACGCCCAGGGCGTGTTTAAGAAGAACCGAGCTGACGAAGAAACACAAGGTCGGCTACACGCAAGAGGGACCCTGGGTAAGAGAGACCTTTGGTGCACTGCTTTTTGGGGGCCTCGGGGGGGGAGGCCAAATCCAGGCGCGCAAGCCGCTGCTACCGCTTCGCGTTCAGCCATCTGGGGACCCATCTGTGCCCGCACCAAAGGTCACACTGGCGAAAGGTCTCTCTTACGTCTAGTCGACAAGACCATACGACAAACACGAAAAAGTAATTGCCACGGTGGTGGGCTCCCAACAGCGGCGTGTCATCAACGCACGTGCTTCCTCCGCAGCCCCGCATGTATGGGCACGTGCGTGCACGTGCACGTGCGTGCGTGCGTGTGTGTGTGTGTGTGTGTGTGTGTGCGTGTGTGTGAAAGCGCTCCGAAGCAGGCCATCGGAAATGGTCCGCACATGCGTGCACGTGCTGCTGGTCCCTGCCCCTCTCCCCCCCTTGGGCGGAGAAAGAGGAGGAGGAGGAGGAGGAGGACGAGGAGGAGGAGGGCGAGGAGAACGAGGGCGAGGAGGAGGAGGAGGAGGGCGAGGAGAACGAGGCGAGGAGGAGGAGGAGGAGGAGGAGGAGGAGGAGGAGGAGGAGGAGGGAGGAGGAGGAGGAGGAGGAGCCCCCCCCCACCCTGACGTGTCGCCACAGCGGAAAAAATACGCCGGCAGGCCAGAGACGCGAAGGAACAGACCACGGAGCCCAGACCTCGACGCCGCGCTCCCCGCGCTTGTGATGGGCGTGTTTTCAACCATCACTACCATAAGTGTGAGGGGGGGGGTTCTCCAACTCCTCCTCCTCCTCCTCCTCCAACTCTTCCTCCTCCGCCTTCTCCTTCGGGGCGGGACAGGCAGACGGAGGGCGGACAATCCCGGGTTTTTTTTGGGGGGGGAGCGCGGGCTGACAATTCAGGGCGGGGGGGCGGAGGGTCAAGTCAGAGCCAGGGAAGGAAAAGCTGGGAAGGACATCGCGGGCTGACGATTCGAATTCGCAAGGGCGAACAATTCGAGGCCGCGGGAGTTGCTTTTGGCCAGCCCTGAATGTGAAGTAGAAGGCCAGCCTTGCGCGGAAAGCAGACATTCTGCGCCGCCTCCGGACAGCGACATCTTCCCCAAGCTCTTCCTATTCTCCTCCTCCTCCTCCTCCTCATCATCATCATCCTCCTTCCCCTTGCTCTTCCATCCCTTTTCACATTCCCCCTGCAAACTACTGTTCCTCCACAATTTTTCAATATGAATACTATTCCTGTCTCTCCCTTGATGCACTCCAGATACACGGGCGAGGAGGAAGGGAAAAAGGAGGGTGGGGATAGACGCAGGAGAACGAATAGAAAATCAGATTCCGCAAGGCGGCCGCGGCGAGATAGAACGAAAGGAGGGCGGACGATTACAAAAGAGCTTCTGGCGGCTGAATTATACTAGTCTGCCCCACTCATTCATTTTGGGGCCCAGGGGAGGAGGGAAGGGGGGGGGACATTTTCTGAATCGTTTGCCTCCATTACCTCTCTTGCCCTGGCAACCGGGAGGGCACTGAATTTTTTCCTCCAGCAAAGCGAGGTTACCAAATCATCTGAAACTGAGGTCCAGAATGGCTGTGTCACGGAAGATCTCTTGCAAGGCCCCCTGAGGACCGGCAGCGTCGACCTGCACAGGTTTGGAGACAACATTCAAAACTATGCCGGCAGACGCGTATTCAGGAAGGAAGCTCAAGAGAGGCTCAGCATGTCTGGAGGCCTCCCCAATGGCGGCCGGGCAGATGGGGCTGGAGGGTCGCGCCGCATCGCCTGTGCATCGATGCCGCTGGCGCCGAGACAATCGGGCTCCACGTCGGACCGCATCGCCGATGCATCGGCGATGCGGCGCGACCCTCTGACTCCGCATCTACCCGGACCTCATTCAAGAGGACTAGGATGCCAGTGCTTCGGGCAGAGTGGCAGACGTGCGTCGGACTCTCATGCCGTCCACTTCGGCCTATCTGAGTCCCCTCGCACCGCCTCGCACCTCGGAGCTTCGGACTGCGCGCTGCGCGAGCCAGGTGGAGACGGCGACTGCGCCTCGCGCAACCTCGCGCCGCCGCCCTGTAGAGAAACAGCTGTCCAGCCCAGGCCGACGAGCGCGAGTGCTGACCTGGCTTGCCCACCTAACTCCTTGGCCTTCCAAGCTCAATGGTGCGCACAGTTCCGACCTGGGTGCAACGCGCTGGCATGACGGCGGTGACACCCAAGGCCCAAGCATCCGCCGCCATGTGGCGGCGAGATTGATGACTAGGCCAATCCTGCGCCTGGGATGAGGATGGGTCTGGCCAGGGGCGGAGTGGGTGCATAGTCGGCGCACTAAGTGTCCTCCTCCTCAACGGGCCCCCTCCTCCTCCTCCTCCTCCTCCTCCTCCTCCTCCTCCTCCTCCTCCTCCTCCTCCTCCTCCTCCTCCTCCTCATCGATCCTCCCCGATGGTCCATGCCGAGAATAGAGGCACACGTACGGGCGACGCCAAGACGAGTGCGGCCACCCCGCCCGCCGCCCCCCCGAGAGGCCTCCTAGATGGGGTCGGCGAAGATGTGGTCGGAGGATCGCGCTGCATCGCCCATGCATCGGCGAGGCATCGGCGATGCACCGTCGACGTCGGCGATGCATCGTCGACGTCGGCGATGCATCCGCGACGTCGACGTGAAGCAAATATCGGGCTCCACATCGAGACTTCGGTCGAGTGTGTCCTCCTACAGGCCGATTTTGGAAGACAAATGACTATGAGTCACAACAGAATCAGGAATGGTCAGCAAAAATCGAAGAATCGTTCCCCGACTATCTTGTGACTATTTTTGAATATTCCGCCTGTAGAGGGATCTGCAAAGGTTGAGTAGGGCGTGGGGGTCACGTCTGCAGAACACCCCATACGGACGTCAAGGGGGGGGCAATCAACCCGTTCGGTCAAGCTAAGATTGATGCACCACACCTGGCGTCAAGCGCAAAGTTCGGACATTGGCGAATGGTGGGACGTTGCACGTCTTCGCCGGGTTAAACCGGCGAGGCGCTTGACCAGCTTGACGTCCCTTTTTCGGTGGCACTGCAGAGGAAAGCGCTCTCTGACCCTCGGCCCTGATCAACGCGCAAGGGGTTAACGGGCGAAGAACGGTATAACATAAACTTTTTCGCTGTCGGGGGCGCCTGCCCCTGGGCGGCTGGAAAGTCTATACCCCTACGGTGCCACCGTAGAGGGGTATAAACTCTCCAGCAGCCCAGGGACGGGCGCCCCCGACGGCGAAACAATTTATTTTATATCGTTCTTCGCTCGCTGATGTTAAGAAACCCGGAGTAAGGAAACCGTCCGACATTCTCACAACAGAGCAGCACAACTGCGGACAGCATCGGGCTCGCCGGGTCCGCAGCGCTGGCGGACGCGGGCGCGACTGCCGAGCCGACGGGCCGCGCCGGCCACTGGGCGCCGCATGAGCGGGTGGAAGAGCGCAGGACCGCCGCGGACGGGGCGGTGTTGGAAGGGGCGCCCGCGACCTGAGGCGGGCGCTGCGCCAGCGTCAGCTGCCGCGACGCCTGCTCCACGGCCGCCGCCACCGCCTGCGGGAGGCCCCGTCGCCCGCCCCCTCGCCGCCTCTTCGGCCGCGGGCGCCGCCGCCGAGGGCCAGCGAGGGAGGCGAGGAGGCTCCTCCTCCTCCTCCTCCTCCTCCTCCTCCTCCCCGGCCTCCTCCTCCCCCTCCCTCCTCTCCTCCTCCTCCTCCTCCTCGTCCTCGTCCTCCTCCTCCTCCTCCTCCTCCTCCTCCTCTTCCTCCTCCTCCTCCCACCTCCTCCTCCCACCTCCTCCTCCTCCTCCTCCTCCTCCTCCTCCTCCACCTCCACCTCCACCTCGCCCCGCCGAAGCTGATCCTCACCCCCTCCCTCCAATTCCTCCGCGCCTTCCCCCTCGCGCGCCGCTTCGTGGCGGAGCTGGGCCAGAGCCAGCCAGGGGCAACACCGGGGAGCCCACAGGAGACGCACGCGCCCACCCACGCACACGAACACGGTCACGCAGTCCGCGAGACCGGCCGCGTGAGACGAACGTTCGCGCAGAGCGTACTTCGGCGGTGGACAAACCTCCCTTTAGTTAACCTCCCCTCAGTGAAAACGACATGGGACCGACACCGACTGACCTGGACCCGCATAAATAACGGCCGTGACGCCCTCTCGCGAACCGAGAACGGCCGATTCCTGCATCGACGTGTCGGGGTAGGAGGTCTGTCCACCCCCGACGACTCAGTCCGCGAGACCGGCCGCGTGAGACGAACGTTCGCGCAGAGCGTACTCTGGAAGCCGGTGCGTGCACCCCAAAATCCGTGTTGAACGGTGCCCGGCCCCAAGGGGCGCACCCGGAGGCCAAGGGAGGCAACCGAAACCTGCTCGGACCCAGCCTCCTGGCCGCCCTTTGCGGCGGTAAGCGCTTCGCCTCCCCCCCTCGCGCGCCGCCGATGCTGCGCATCGTGCCCACTCTTTCCTCGGAGGAGAAGAGGTTGGAAGAGGAGGAGGAGGAGGGAGGAGGAGGGAGAAGGAGGAGGGGAGGAGGAGGAGGAGGAGAAGGAGGAGGAGGTTGGAGGACAAGGAGGTTAAAGGAGGAGGAGGATGAGGAGGAGGAGGAGGAGGAGGGAGGAGGAGGGAGAAGGAGGAGGGGAGGAGGAGGAGGAGGAGAAGGAGGAGGAGGTTGGAGGACAAGGAGGTTAAAGGAGGAGGAGGAGGAGGAGGAGGAGGGAGGAGGAGGAGGAGGAGGCATACGTCGATCGCCCCGAGGCACGGCGGGAGGCCCTGCAAGAGGGGGCCGATGCGGCGTGCGGCGCGGCCCCGGCACTCTCGGGCGCACGGGGGGGCGGGCGCTCGCTGCGGCGGGGGGGCCCCGAGAAACTGGGGAGCACCGCGTGGGGCCTGCCAACAGGAGCATACCGTAGCCATCGGTCGGAAGAAGTGGGTAGAAACATCGTTGCAAGCAGGACTGGGTTCCGCCCGCCCCCTGGAAAGAGGATGGAAGAAGGGTGGAGCAGCTCGATCGTTGAAGTAGGAAGGCGCTGAAAGTAGATTTGAATCAGGGGATCCCAAAATACCTACTTTCAACGACGACCGATAGGTACAGTGGAGGTCAATCCACAAGAAACCTTCCACAAGAAACCCGGCCCCGAGACGCCAGGGCGTCCATCGACTTTTGGTGATGGAACGTCAAGCTTGCCATCGCAAAATCATTGAAACCCAAGGGGCCCAGGGCTCTCTGGAGGCAAGTATGGTGTTTTCCACTGATCGCAAAATCACTACTCGCAAATGGCCTAGATCAACCGCGGAAGCTTTACGATTACAGTGGGGCAAACGTGTTTCTTGGCATGGGCCTCCACTGTAGACGGATCTACCCTTTCTCCGCCCTTGCACCTCGCCGAACGCAACGGCAACGTTGTCCATAGACGCATCCGCCCCGAAAATGTCTACGGACCCAATGTGTCCATAAACGCTTTTGGCTAGGACGTGAGAACGAAATTTGGCATCAGCCACATATGTTGGTCTGTTAGAAGCAGGTAGGCTTGGCCCTCCAACCTAGAAAGAGAGCGAGGAATTTGTTGTTTTGACCTCGACGGGGCCCACCGTGGAGCGCAGCTGGCTGGCAGTGCGGGACCTTCCAGCTCTGAAAAGCAACCCAGATAGGGTGACCTTCGAGTGAAGTGAATCTGAGTCGCGAGAAAAAGCCTTGCTCGACACGCCCCCGACCTCCCCGCCCACGTTAGATTGGAGCTGTGCCGCGACTCTCTGAAGCTCAGCAGCACGTCTTCATCGAGGAGAGCGAGGACGGCACGATGATGAAGGGGCCCAGGGGGGCACAAGCAAATCGGCACGGGCTCCCTGATTCCCAATAATAATGCGTATTTCTTTGATGTTCGCTTCCCCTACACTTCACATCTTTTCCCACGGCTTCATGGAAATCAGCGTTTACTTGTGTTTGTGCCAATGTTTCCCTCCTGGGAGGAGGAGGAGGAGGAGGAGGAGGAGGAGGAGGAGGAGGAGGAGGAGAGGAGGGCGAGAACGAGACGCGGAGCGAGGAGGGGAACGAGGGCGGCAATTCCGAGGAAAGCGAACAGGAAGAGGAGGCGAAGGACAGGCGCGGCCGCGGGCGGCGGCGCCGGCGCCTCCTGGGCCGCGTCCAGGTCATCGTCGTCCTCCTGGCGGCAATGGCCGGGCGAGCAGGCCGACTACGTCGTCGTCGTCCACATCGTCGTCTTCACCCTCGTCCGCGTCCTCGTCCGCGTTCGCGTCCTCGTCTGCGTCCTCGTGGTCGTGGTCTTTGTCGTGGTCGTCGTCATCGCATCGCCGGCCACGTCGGGCGAGCACACCCAACCATTCCGGGATGCTCCATACCTTTGACACACTGCCCAGATCTACCTCTTCCCCTCCATTTCCAATACTCTCCCATCGTTACATGAGCTGACTACCTACCAGACCACCCCAACCCAACCCGAAGACCAGAATTTCGGGTGGGGGGGGGTAAGGATTCCACATGTTTGTTTTGTGTTCGATATTTCCCGACCCCCCCCCCACTGGAAATCGAGGGACGGTAAATCTGAGCCTTCGGGTTGGGTTGGGGTGGTTTGGTACCAAACCTTACGCCAGAGGACCAAGCGACCCGCGCGGTGGACCACCGCGGGCCGCCAGCTCAGCACGCCGCGTTAGCAGCGAGGGCGCCCGCGCGCCACTCTGCGCGGGGAGCCTGCGCGCGCGCGCACGCCGGCTTAGTCGAACCCGTGCCTTTGCGCCGATGAAGGGGCCCTTGGACACACAAATGGATACACACAAATGACAGGATCCCCCATATTTTCATATATCTTCTGGGTTTTGTCTTCCCCCCACTTCCCATATTTTCCAATATTCTCTAGAGAATCGACGATGAATTGTGTCTGTGTCTTTTTGTTGTTCCCTCTTGAGCCGAGACGAGGCGAGAGGCGAGACAGAAGCCGCGCCCAGACGGCGCAGCGGCACGGCAACCTGCGGCAGGTGGCGGCGTGCGGGCACCGGCAGAACACACGCACGCCTCAAGAACTTGCACCTTGCGCTGCTCGCTCAAGTGTTTGCATGGCTTGGCGGCGCGCACACAGGGGAAGGAGGGAGGGGGGAGGGCTTCTTAGAGGGAGGCTGCTTCTCAGAAGGCGGCGGCCTCACATCTGTAGATCAGGCCCGCGCCTTCTAAGAAGCAGGGGTGCTTCTAAGAAGCCCTCCCCCCCCCTCTGCGCGAGGCTGCATGGCTCCGTGCGGCGCGCATTTTCTCAGATGCTCCTCTGGCCTCTCCGAGGCGCCCTGTCGAGTCGCTGCGTGGCCAGCCGCGTCTCTCTGCGCCGCCCACACGGAAAGCAGCGCTCATCTGCGTGTTGTGCCGATCACCCCGGCCTGGAGCAAGCTGCCGCTCGAGCCGCCCGTCGCCGCCTCTCCGGCGACGACGTCGCGGGGGGGGCGCGGTCCCCACCCCGCTGTGCGCCAGGGCCGGCCGGAGGTCGGCGCTTGCTGAAGGTGCCCCTGGTCCAAGGTGAACTCCTCGCTCTACAGTCGGGGGCTTGACCTAAGGAACCCCAAATAAGGAACGAGGCCCCTTTTTTTCATGAGTTAAACTTCGATTTCCGATCGAAAGGATAAGGGACACCTGAGGCAAGCTGCGAAACACGTAAGGAACGCGGAGCCCCTCCCCAACGAAAAGGGTTCCTTCTTCAGGGCCCCGACTGTATCCTAGAGCCCCTCGGGCCTCGTATGCCCAGTCCTTCCGTATCCACTTCGGGCGTCCAGGCAGGGGCGACGCCAACAGTTTCGGGTTCAGGATTTCTGGAGCCGCCCACGAAGCGTGGGGCTGGATGTCGGACCGCCAGGTCTGTGCAGGTCCACACTCGGCCCCGGGCCCGACCGCGGGCCCCGGACATGTGCGCAGGCCGTCCCGGCCCGGGCCAGGGGCCTCGTGATACGCAGGTCGGTTCGGCGAGGGATGGTGGTGGTCGGAGAAGAAACATTGGCACTGGGGTCGGAGCATCGCGCCGCATCGGCGATGCGTCGGCGACGTCGGCGTGGAGAAAGTCGGGCTCCGCATCGAGCCGCGTCGACGATGCCTCGGCGATGAGTCGCCATCCTCCGACCCCACCTACTCGGACCCCATCTCGGAGGCCTAGACTCTCGGAGAAGGGCGAGATCACACACTGTAAACTCAAGCTCCTCTCAACAAGCGGTCCCCAGAAGAGAAGCGCCCTGGAGAAGCCCTTGGAGGCCCCTTTGGAACCAGTTGGGGCTCTTCTTCACGCCCCATTTCGCCCCCCCCCCCCCCCCCCCCCCCCCTGATTAGGCATACAAGGACCCCTACCCTTTGGGAGGAGGCCTAGGTCAGGACGGCCTGGAACATCAGGAATAAGGGTGTCTTTTCTGCAGATGTATCGAACCAACATGCCCAAATGTCATATTATCCCTAATGCGACGACGGGGACCTCTGTGAGGTCACGCCTTCGTCGTGTTATTCGGGTTCGGGGTTGTTCTATCCTTGATGACCCCATTGCCGCCCACCCGAGCCCCCCGAAGGCAAAGAATGCCAACTGCCGGTGTTCCTTAGGTGCCCAGGCATGGGGCGCCTCGCGTAGTCGCACGGGCGCCTAGCGAAGAACATGTCGTGCCCCTCCACCAAAACCCACTAGGTTCTAGATCCCACTCAATCCCACCTGCGACCCCACTACATCCCGCTGAATCCCAACTAAATCACACTAAATCGCAGTAAACCATTCGGGGATCTCCTGACCTGGGTAAATCCAACCCGGGTCAGTCAGGCCTTGCAATATCCTGCAAAATCCTGCAGGATCCTGCACCCAAACCCGGGTCGATGCGAAAGATCCCGCAGGCTCCTGCGCCCAAGCCTTGGCCAGTGCGGCCCTGCCCCTGCAGGCTCCTGCAAGATCGGGCGCTCTGGCCGACCCCCGCTAGCATCGACCCCCGTCTCAGGGCCCCCGAGCCACTGGCCATCGCTCGGACGTCCATTCCCTGTTATTTGTTCGGTTTCGTGCGTGTTTTCTTTGCCAAATGATCAAGGATGCTCCTCGATGGCCCTCGCCGAAGGAAACAAGCACACGTCCGAGCGATGCCAAGAGCCACAACGAAAGCTCCCAGACTTGGCCCCCCCGCGTCCCCCCCGCGGCCCTCCGGCGAGCCTCGCGCGGCCCCCGCCTGCGAGGAGACGCCCCAAGCCCCCCGCTCGAGCCCGGAGCCGGGCCCCGAGGGGGGGGCTATAGTTTCCCAGATTTTCATAGTTTTTGTCTGTGCCGACTTCCCTCTCCTGACCTCCCAGCGGCCGGGACCCTCCAAGTTCCCCAAAAGCAGGCCCCAGGATCCAGCCGCCCGGGCCGGCGGCGAAGACCCCCCTCCCCCAATAGCGCACTGGCCAGCGAGAGCAGGCGTCCAAGCGTGCGACCCCGCCTTGGCACTCCTCCTCCCTCGGGATCCCCCTCTTGATGCTCGTTAGCCTCCACTCGTAACCCTCCTCTCTTTTTTCATTGGCCACGCAAGAAAAGCCACGCAGGCCGCTCTCGACCCCGTAAATGGCAACGGAGGTGCTGCAGAGCAGGGCACGCAAGCTCGCACGGAGAATGCGGATGGGGGGAGGTGAGAGTTTAACTTCGCTTCACCTCCGTGGACGAAATGTGTGGACCTTCCTGGAGCCACTCGCTCCATTCACCCGTCGGTGCTGCCATCGAACGTCAGTGGACTCGAGGCGAGTGTGCGTCGAACTTGCGCCGAACACGAGTCGAGCTGGAGTCGAAGCAGAGTCGAGCGGATCCGTCAGGTGGGCTAGAGGAAGAGGACAGCACATTAACAGAAACTTTCGACGGCCCGCGCGCATTTCTTGGATCCGCGCTGGACCCCCTTCCTGGCGCGCGGAGCGCGCCAGGGGCGGCGCCCGAGGCGCCGCCAGGGGGCCCTACAGCCGGACTCGATTGGACAGGACACGCGAGAGGACACAAGACCCTTCCGAGGGCCACAGTGCCACAGGAACGTAGGAAGCAGGGGTCGCGGGACACAGGGCACGCGGGTACCCTTGATTTTCGGGAGCGGCCAAGAGGGGGGTGTCCAAGAGGGGGGGGTGCAAATCATGACCGGCGGCATGTGCGCGGCCCAGCGGGGGGGCCAGGGACGTAATGAAGCAAGAAGACGCGCCATGAAATCTGGGGAAACATCATGGCCCCCGCCATGACATCCCCCCCCCCTAGTCATCACCCCCCTCTTTGCCGTCCCCGAGATTTGGCAGGGTCGCCCCACTAATCCGGGCCGCCTGTAGCGCAGATCCAAGAAATCCGCGCGGAGCGTCGAAAGAGTCGAACAGATCCGCCACGAGCAGCCGGCCCCACCGGTCCTCCCCGCCGTCCAGGGAGCCCTGGACGTTGTCCCAGGAGAAGGCGCCGGACCCATCGGCGACCTGCCGGGGCTCGGTCGCGCGGCGGCTGCTGGGCCAGATAGTGGGGGGAGGTTCAGGTCGGGCACGTCCTCGTACGGGCGGGTTTTTGGAGAAGCAATAAAAACATGCTCAAAACATACTCCAAAATGTTCAGAGATACTAAGAAATTCGTCCCCTGGCTATTTTTTGACTATGTATACTTTTCCTCCTGTAGAGGGAAGTGCCCGACTCAAGGAAAGGTTGAACTTACTGGGCGGCGGAGGTGAGGCAATGACGGCGGCGACGAGTGTCGAGATCCACCAAAAGGGGGGTGACCCTAAAGGGGGGCATTAGTTCGATCCGGTAACGCACCGCACTGCCGCAGACAGATGCCCCCCGCATGCACCACCTATCGGCAACTATCAGGAGCTGCCGGCGGCTGGGGGGCATCTGCTGTGGGCTGTTCGGTGCAAAAAGCGATCGAACTCTCTCTCACACACACACACACGCAAACACACACACACACACATCCTGGGGCACACACCCCTTTTTGCGGGATCCCGACACTAACAGCGACGACGAGGGACAGGGATCTGAGCCAGGAGGATCATGAGCACGATGGCCGTACCGACGGGCAGGACGGCAACGACAAGCGTCGGCGAGGGAGAGAGCGAGGGCAAGAGCGATGAGGAGAACGACGATCGAGGCGACGGCCAGGACGAGGACGAGGGCGCCAATCCCAAAGGACCGTCGACCTTGACGGCCCTGGAAACGACAGGGCCGTTTTTTAACCAGTTCCGTTTTGCCGTTTTTTTACCGGTTTCCGTCGCCGTTTTTTGTGACCGGTTCCGGCTCCGGTTCCAATCCTGGAGCCGTTTTTGTTGGCCGCTTCCGGTCGCCTTTTTGTTGCCGTTCCCCTTTTCAAGGGACATTTTTTCTGGAAACGGTGCAAAAACGGCCCTGCCGCTTCCGGGGCCCACTAAGCGCCAATCCCCAAAATTTGGACGCCCGAAATGGGTACCGAAAAAATTGGTACTATGCCCAACAGCAAATGCTGTCCCAAACCAACAGCGGCCGCTGTTGGGCGGGCGGCCTCCTGTCTCGAACGGACACAGGCCGCGGCGGCGCGGACAGCAAGCCCTGTTCAAAATGAACAGGAACTGCTGTTGGGCATTGTACCCATTCCTTCGGTGCCCATGTCTTGCGTGCAGACACGAAGGTCCAGGACGAGGACGAGGGCGCCAATCCCAAAAGACCGTCGACCCCCCGTGGAACCTCCAAGGATAGGGGGAAAACAAACCTACCTCGCTTCTGACCACCCTCGCTTCCAAGAGATACCAAACGATGCCAAATTGCGGCCTGTACTGGTCAGGCCGCTCGACGAGGAGGCGCGTGGTATGACTTGGTTTTGCCTGGAAGCGAAAGCGGGGGAGGTAATTCACGCTCTGATAAGGTCCAGGACGAGGACGAGGGCGCCAATCCCCAAAAAGACCGTCGACCCCCCGTGGAACCTCCCGGGGAGTCCGGCTGCCCCCCTCCGCCCTCCCGCGGCAAAGAACACCCTGGCAAAAGGGCCCCTCGCTCCGCACGCTTCGCGCGCCGTGCGAGAGGCGCCTCGCGCCCTCTCGCGCCGCCCTCGAGGGGAGGACGAGGAGGGCGAGGTGGACGAGGAGGACAAGGAGGACGAGGAGGACGAGGAGGAGGGGAGACGAGGGGAGACGAGGAGGACGAGGAGGACGAGGAGGACGAGGCGGACGAGGGGAGACGAGGGGAGACGAGGAGGACGAGGACTCGGAGCCGAACGGCGAGGCGCGAGGCGCCGATAACTCGCCTCGCGCCCTCGAGCGGGGGCGCCCTTTGGAGCAAGCAAACCTCTCTTTTGCCTGGGGGAGCCAGGCGAACCGCGTCTCACCCCCTGCTCCCAATCGGGGGCGGCAAATAGTCGGGGCGTCCAAGGGGGGGGGGGGGGCGCAGAACCTGGCCAGCGGCATGTGCGCGGGGATGCTGGGGACGCATGGAAATAAGAAGAGGCGCCATGAAATCAGGGGAGATATCATGGCCCCCGCCATGATATCCACACCCCCTAGTCACCACCCCCGATCCTAGTATTCCTTACTTCCCCACCGGGAGCGAAGTGAACTTCAGGGACTTCTTCCTGCTTGCGCTACTCGGACCAGGGCTGGCATGGACCGAAGCGTCTGCGCCGCGACACAGCCGACCCGCATGATACGGACACCCGACGAGGATGCAAGGGCCATATTTTGAAGGCCGCGCCGACACTCTGCGAGCGGGGCGCGGACAGCGAAAGCGGGCAATGATGGGCGGGAGGGGAAGGATGCAAGGGTACTCTTGGAAAGCCGCTCATGCTTACTATGCGGGTTGACTAAAAAATACGCGGGGAAAAGCATCGGACTGTGGCGAAACGGCCTAGTGCAGCTGCAAGATAGTTGGGGGACAGGACTGGCGAGGAGAAGTGGAGCAACGTACTCCTCATCTTCAACTTCCTTTGCCTCAGCCCTTTGTGGGCCCCGGAAACGGCAGGGCCGTTTTTTCACCGTTTCCAAAAAAATGTCCCTTTGAAATTGGAAACAGCAAAAAAACGGCGACCGGAAACGGCAAAAAAACGGCTCCAGGATCGGAACCGGAGCCGGAACTGGTCAAACAACGGCAACGGAACCGGTAACAAAAACGGCGTCGGAACCGGCAAACAAAAAACGGCAAAACGGAACCGGTAAAAAAACGGCCCTGCCGTTTTCAGGGCCCACTGAGGCCTCAGCCTCCATCGCTCCTCCGCGCCGAGGCGCCGCCTTGTCGGCGAACTTCTCGTCCTCGGCCTTGCCAGGTGCGGCGTGGGCTGCTGCACGCGCCGCCGCGCCGAGATAACACTCCCAGATTCTCCACACACACTTTGGCCTCCTCCACCAGCCCCGGCGCCCCGATTTCTGTTCCCGCCTGTACTGCCCACTGGGTCCGATCGTCCTGCCACTGCGGCCCCTCCCCCTCCCCCTTTCTCACCCCTCCCCTGCCTGCTCCTGCTCCTGCTGCCTCTCCCCTGGGAGGAAGGAGGCGAGCGAGGGCGCAGTGGAAGTAACTCAGCCAGAAGCCCGCCGCAGGAATCCCAACCCTGGCTTGGTCTCTCACGCTTCGGCTGCACACGAAGAAACCCACGACTTCCTGACCCGAGCAATTTCTTGACCGCTTTGCTAAAGCAGTTTCGCACCAAGAGGCCCAACGCACCGACGCCCAAAAAACCGAGGAAGCCCTTCAAGGCGCAGTTGCTTCGGGAATGCTACAACCCTCCACGCCGAACGAAGGCCAACAAAAAACACAGGACACCCCGATGAAACAAAAGGGTGTTTCTTCTCATGCGGTCCGACTGTATGGGAGAAGCGGAAGGTTGGGAAGAAGGAGGGTTGGGGAGGGTTGGGGGTTGGGGGGAGCTTGGAAAAAAGAGGTTGACGGAGACGTGGGAAAAATATGGCTGGAAGCAAGGAGGAACCTCGAGGGCGGGGGGGGGGGAGGAGCGGAGGAAGTGGGGAGGGGAAGTCCGCCGCCGTGCCCTCAGCCACGTATGCGAAGAACCCTTTATATTGTTCGCACAGTAGCATACGCGAGCATCACGAAGGATTGATCGTGACATGAACGAGGACCTCGACTACACCAATCCCACCAACACTATGGGCGAAGGTGGTTTCAAGGACTTTGTGTTCTATCTCTCTCAATATATCCTGTGTTGTGTGTGTGTTTTGATTATCCTTCTCTCTCTCTTTCACTATCTCTCTCTCTCTCTTGCTCTCTCTCTCTCTCTCTTGCTCTTTCTCCCTCTCTCTCTTTCTCCCTCTCTCTCTTTTTCTCTCTCTCTCTCTCTCTCTCTTTTCAGCCAAACCCATATTTCCCCTGCTCAGGGGAAGGGTTTACTCCACCCCCTGCCCCCTCCCGTGGGCCTGGGAGTGGGGGGGTGGGCCGCGAGGCGTTAGAGCCCCCAGGATCGCCCAAAATGGCTCCGAGAGGGCCGCAGGAAACCCAAGATGGCCTCCAAGATGGCCCAAGATACCTCAAGACGGCGCAACATAGCCTCCAGCATATCTAAGAAGCCTCGAGACGGCCTCAAGATTGTTTCAAGTGCCGTCCCCGCCCTCAAAAGGACCCCCCCGAGAAGCCAACACTTGCCGAACGCCGATGGAAAAATCAACGTTGTCGTGCCGGCTCGCCCATTTGCTTCCGATGGGCCCCTGAGGCCACAAAGAGGGCCCCAACAGGGGCCCAAGAGCGCCTCAAGACATAAGTCGTGTGCCTCCGATGGGGGGATCCGAATTACCCCCCCCCTTCAGTTTGAGACATGAGGCCCAAGACGGCCCCAAATGGCCCCCGAGACCTCTCCAGGGAGCCATAAGAGGGCCCCTGGACTTTCCGAAAAAGCTCCAATAAGGCCCACCGAGTGCCCCAAGTGGCGCCGCGAGGGCCCCAAGACACACCCAAGACGGCTCCACAGGACATTCGAAAACAAAACCTTCCAGGTGGCTGCTGCACTGCATGTTTCTGCGCCTTACTGCTCAAAGCACCCCGCCTGGTGATATGTTTCTGGATGGGCTGGCGGGGATACTTGTTTGATCGCGACCGCGGCGAGGCAGAGTTGGGCGGCGTCCAGCAACAACTTAACTTATCGCAACGGAAAAAAAGGCGAATCTCAAAAACAAAAAAGAACAGGAGAGACGGACAGCAAGCGAACCTCACTATCGCTCAGAAGAGCGCCAGCACCAGGAGGAACTTCTGGGCGTCGTGCAACACCAAAAGGTAATTCGAGAAGCCCACGATCCAGATGCGGAAGACCGTCGTGACGAACAGCACGCCGGGGACGAAGCCAGGAACCATCGCAGGACAGTGACCCTCGACACGAGAAGGGGCAGGACGTGCTGGCTTTCAACGGGAAATCCGGATCGCCAAACACCAAAGGGTGCGGAACGGGGGTGTGTGATGCGGCTGGTGGGGATACTTTTTTTGGTCGCCAGTGGACGCGGATTCGCAATCGCCTAGCTGAGAGGTCCGGGCCACGGGCCTGACATAAAGGTGGGGCTACTTTTTTGGCTCGCTGCTCCAAGGCGAGGGACAGGGAGCGGGTACAACGTCCGGGGCGCGGCACCAAAGGTGGGGATACTTTTTTGATTCGCGGCCCGCAAGGAGAAGTCCAGAGGGCGGAGTGACCGAGGCTGGGGCACAGCGACAGATAATTGGCGCGACATCGCGCAAAGTGCTGAGCATGTGTCAGCAAAAGAGGGCAACCGCGAAGGCACCAGCTGAAGCCCAGGTGCCACCACGCGGACCCCAAAAGCCGCTGAGCGTGTGCCAGCGGGGGGGGGGCGGGCGGAAACAGGTCGGACCCGCAGGTGGAGTACCGACTGCCAGGCGGAAGCGTGCCAAAACCACTCACTTGCCTCCCAGGGCGTGGGCCAGTGTGTAAGCCACCGAGGGGGTTCGGGCCAATGCCTGGAGGGTGCCAGCCAACCACAGGAGAGGGCGCCCGCGATGGCCGCAGGTACCAAGGCGGTGTGGAGCCTCCGCTCCCAGAAGGCCCAACTGTGGCAGGAGCCAACGTCTAGCACAAGCGTAAAGGTGGGGATGCTATTTTTTTATACAGCCGCAGGCGGAAGCGCCAGCGGCGGGCGGTCGCGGGCGGGCTGCGGCCGCGGCTAGCGGCGGGAAAGGTGGGGAGACGCGAAGCGTCCAGAATTTACTGGAGAATTCATGGGCGCTCTCGTGGGCATCCCGCCTTTCCCGCGTGAGTCCGCGGGAAGCCAAATCCGCCCAAACCGACTGCAGCATCTGGAGCTCCCTTGGGGACTTCCTGAAGCGGTGATGTAAGCACTGGGGGTCAGCCCACGGGACAACAATCCGCCGAACCCTTGGGGTAATCCGACCCCTTGGGTCACGGCGTGTGAGATGCTTACCCCTCCCCTAACCCTCCCCCGGGGGCTTCGTCCGGCCAATTTGGAGGGGGGGGGGAGCAAATCCATCATCCGCACACTTGGAGCCTCAGGAAGCCCCAAAACGGGCCAAAAAGGTTCCAAAGTTTCCCGGAACGGTCCAAGAGAGCTACGAATCGATGAAAGATCGCCCCAAAACGCCGAAGATTGCCTCCACACGGCTCCATAAGTCCCCAAGACGTTTGAAAATCGCCGGCCCAACGGGCCAGGGCGTGCTAAGATCTCCGGTACTTGGTTAACAGTATTTCTAGTTCGCGCGCGCGGGGCGGCCCCTGGGTGTCCCCGGACGAAAAATACCCCGGCAAGGTCCCGGCAAGTCCCCGGCAAGGTTGGGTCAGAGATGCCGGAGTTCTGTTTCGGAGTCCAAGAGGGCTCCAGATCGGTCCAAGAGGGCCCCGAGAAGCTTTCTAGACGGTCCAAGAGAGGCCCGAGACGGCCAAAGATCGCCCGAAGACGCCCCAGATGGCCCCAAGACAGCCCAAGAGGCCTCCAAGACGCTCCAAGGGCCTTCCAAGAGGCCTCCGAAGAGGGCCCCAAGTTGCCAAAATCGTTGATTTTCATTTGTTTTTTCTATGTTTTTTTGCGTTCTGGCCTTTTCGCTTCCGGACGCTCCAAGAGGGCCCAAGAGGCCTTCAAGACTGCTCCAAGACGGCCCACGAGGCTCCCAAGACGGCCCCGGAGCGGCCCAAGAGCGCCCCCCAGACGGCCCAAGTGCTGCCCAAGGCGGACCAAGAGGCCCCAAGACGGGCCCAAGAGGGGCTCAAGAAGGGAACCGAGAACTGAAAAATCGAGCCCTCCGCCCCAGAAGGCGCCCAGGACCCCGAAAGAGGCCCCAAGAGACTCTCCAAGACACCCCCAAGACGCCCCAATAAGCTCCCGTGAGGCCCCAAGAGGACCAACAACGTCAGGCCCCAGGCCCCAAGAGGACCAACAAATACCGCCAAGAGCCCGCCGAAAGCCCCCCAAGAGACCGTCACGAGAGCTCAGGAGGCCCCCTGGAGGCCTCCCGAGTTCTCCAAGAGGCTTAAAAAGAGGCGCCAAGAGGCCCCAAACGGCCCCACCGAGGCTCCAAGAGGCCACGAACGCGCAAGCAAACGCCTGCGATGGCACAATACGGGCCGGCGGAATGAGCGAAGCGATTAAATTATCCCGGCAAAGCAACCTAACAGCGATGTGTAGGAGCATATCTGGAAGCATTCCCCTTAAGATTCAGATGAGAATCCAGTTGTAGAATTGTGCTGTTCTCGCAGTCGTAGTCGCATTCGCGATGACAGTCGCAGTGGCAACGGCAGTCACAGACACAGCCTCAGCCTCAGCCTGCCTCAGCCTCAGCCTCAGCCTGCCTCAGCCTCAGCCTGCCTCAGCCTCAGCCTCAGCCTGCTTCAGCCTCAGCCTCAGTCTGCCTTCAGCCTCGGCGTCAGCCTCAGAGCCTCAGCCTCAGCCTCAGCCTGCATCGGCCTCGGCCTCAGCCTCAGCCTGCCTCAGCATCAGCCTGCCTCAGCCTCAGCCTCAGCCTGCCTCAGCATTCAAAATGTGGCCTGGGAATGGAATTCTGGGAACTCGAAGAACACGAAGTGGCCTACAGTTGGCTCCGGGCATTCAAATTCATGCCCAGGAATGGAGTTCTGGGAACTCGAAGACCACGAAGTGGCCTACAGTTGGCTCCGGGCATTCAAAATGTGGCCCGGGAATGGAGTTCTGGGAACTCGAAGACCACGAAGTGGCCTACAGTTGGCTCCGGGCATCCAAAATGTGGCCCGGGAATGGAGTTCTGGGAACTCGAAGAGCACGAAGTGTGTGACTGTTGCATCCGGCCCTCCAGAATGTGGCCCGGGAATGGCGTTCTGGGAACTCGAAGAGCACGAAGTGTGTGACTGTTGCATCCGGTTATTCTAAAGGTGGCCCGGGAATGGCGTTCTGGGATCTCGAAGAGCACGAAGTGTGTGACTGTTGCATCCGGTATTCAGAATGTGGCCTGGGAATGGAGTTCTGGGAAGTCGAAGAGCACGAAGTGTGTGACTGTTGGTGAAAAACGAGCGGGGCCCCCTGCCGCCCGGCAACTCCCAACGCCTGCCCGGACCCCCCTGTGGAGTGATCTGTGAGCTCTTTTGAGTCAACTAGAAACCTATCAGTCTTCGCTGTTAGGTAATAATGTTACGAGGCGCCCCAAAGAGGCCCTCCAGAAGCAAAAATCGCCCCATTCCTTGGGGAAACGTACATTTCACCACATTCGCCCATTCGGCTTCCAGGCGGCGCAAAACGGCCCAAGAAGCCTCCAAGATTGCCCCTCGCCAGCCCAAGAGGCTCCCAAAAAGGCTCCAAGTCGGCGTCTGGACGATCCACGAAGGCCCCAGAAGCCATAGCAACGGCTTAGGAAAGCCACAGGAAAGTCCCTCGAGGGCTTCAAAACAGGACAAGAGGGCTCCCAAAGGCTGTCCCGACGGCCCACGCGGGGGGCGATTCGGTCCAATCCGCCCAAGATTGCCTCCACACAGCCCCATGGGCGTCCAAGACGCTTGCATTCGCGACCACGAGGCGCTGCAAGCAGGCCTCCAAAGGCAACAACCGTCCCTTTCCCTAGGGAAAACGGACATGTTCAGCATATTCGCTTCTTGGGCTTCCACGAGGCCCACAACAGTCCAGTAAACCTCCAAGATCGACCCCTGTCACCCGAAGAGGTTCCCAAGAAGGCTCCAAGACGGCCTCCGGGCGCCCCATCGAAAGCCCCAGAAACCATAGCAACGGCCCGGGGGAACGGCAGGACGGTCCTAAGAGGGCTCCAAAACGTGTCTGGAGGGGCCTCACATGCTGTCTGGACAGGCCACGCGGGGCACGACTGCAGTCGCCCCAAGGGGTCGGAGGTGTGGCGTAAGCCAATGAATCGTGCAAAAGCCACATGCTGTTGATGGTGTTCTGACTCAATGTTGTCTGCCCTCCGAGCGTCCAAGGCTGCTCAAACGGCCGCGACGACCAAAAGCGGCACATGATGCTTTCGTCAAGAGCGGAACCTCGAATTGCAACGAGGGCCCCCGAAGCAGCCAGGCCACAGGGGGACCCCAGAGGCCTCAGATGCCGCAGTGGCCCCCGAATGAATAGGCATACAAGGACCCCTAACCCTTTGGGAGGCGACCGAATTCAGGGCCAGGAACACTAGGGATATAGGAACGTTTCTGCAGATGCATCGAACCAAACGGCTCGCCCATGTGTATCAGCACTGATGTGAAAAAAAGGACCTCAGGTAGGCCACGTCTTCATCGGATCATTAGGGCTCGGGGTTGTTTTGTCAACTGTGTCCTCGATGACCAGAGGTATCCAAAGAGGTACAGTCGGGGCGTTGACCTAAGGAACCCTAAATAAGGAACGAGGCCCCTCTTTTCCATAAGTTAAACTTCGATTTCCCATCGAAAACCTGAGGAAAACCTGAAACAAGCTGCGAAACACTTTAAGAAACGCGGAGCACCTCCCCAACCAAAAGGGTTCCTTCTTCAGGGCCCCGACTTCAGGGACCAGAGGTATCCAAAGAGGTATCCCAGACTGTAGATCGGCGGCGAGCCCGGGGGATGAAAAAGAGAGAAGGGGCGGGCCTCCTCAGAGGGCTCGGACGGCCCCCTCAGCCATCGGAGAAGTGCTCTGAGCCTCCCCCGAGGACACAGACAGACCTTCCCCGACGGCGCGAGGGCTTTTCCGAGACGCCCCGGCGCCCTCCGAGGAGGCCTTCTCCTTCTCGCTTCCCCGCCCTCGCCCGCCGCCGAGCAGAGGCACCCACGACGCATCCGAGAGGCCCCAAGAGAGTCCTCCGAGAGAGGGGCGCCTCGTGGCACGGTTTCCGAATCGCGGCGGCGGCACGGGCCGCCCCCGCCGCGCGCAGAGGGGCCTGCTGAAGGGCGGGATTTGTCCTGGCTCTTCTGGCACTTCGAGGTCGAAAGGAGCCCAGGGACACGCACACACACACAACTACACACAAATACACACACACAACTCCCACGAGTCCCCATTATGTTCCCATGCTTTCCGGGTTCGCGTCCTCTCCCCCCCACACATGTCCCACATGTTCCCAATGTTCCGGGGGATCGACGATCAATGGTGTGTGTGAGTGTTTTCCCCCGCCTGGCAACTTTCTGCTCAACCTGCCGGCTATAACTTCCCCCTGTCGCCACTGCGCCAGAGCTAAATAACCTGACCCAGTAAAGTTAGCGTCGCCCGTCGCCAACGGCTCGGCGACACCAGTGTGTCACGCGCGCGCTTTAGCAAATGGTGCACCAGAATTGGGCGGCAGAGCAACACAAAATACAAAAGTGCCAACTGTATCAACAATCCCTCTTCGTTTCCAATGAAGAATCTGGCAGGCGCTGAAGCGAGAGCAGCTTTCGCAATCATGGATGCGGCTGGCGCTATGGCGAGAGCAACAGTCTCAACCACGCAAGACGCACGGGCGAGAACAACGCGCTCAATGAAGGATGTCGCAGGCGCCTAGGTGGCAACAACATTTTTTATCGGAAATGTGGCCCACGCACAAGCCGGAGCATCATCCCGAGAGAAGCGTGTCGCCAAAATGCAAGTGTTACGCCCATTCCGCGCGGGCCGGGCCCTGTGTCACCGAGGTCTGGGCTACGTTAGGAGGGTAGTCCACGTTAGGGGGGGGGTTGTACCCAGAAGACCGTGCTGACCACCATGGAAGCCCCAAGGTCGCCTCAAAGCGGTCCAAGAGGTCCTCAAGATGGTCCCCAAACGGCTCGAGTTCCCCAGACAGCTCCAAGACGGCCTTACAGGGCCCCAAGACGGCCCAGGGAGGCCCTTAAAAGCAGCCTGCGAAGGCGCCAGCCAGCCGAAGAGCGACCTGGGACGGTCCGAGAGAACAACCAGACGGCCAAACGAGCAACCAGGAGGCCCACCCGCAGGCCGAAAAAGCAAGACAACAGCCCCAAACCAACCTAAAGACAGCGCCAGAGGGCCCTCCCCCAGTGCTCCCCCAGGGACCTCCCGAAAAACTGGGACAACACGCAGTCCAGTCGTATCACTCGACGTTCCGCGGACACTTCACCTGACAGGCTTCTGTGAGAGGCAGGGGGGCGGCGGTGACTCACCCGAGGCGAATTCGATGATGAAGGGAAGGGCAACACATGGGGGAGGATCAGGACCAGACCCGTACATATGATGAACGCGATGGGCACGAGACTGGGGGTTGCGAAGCAGACACGATTGAAACCAAGCGGGGGGGCCCGACTGCTGGAGAGCCTGACCACCACTGGGAAAAACACAGACGACTGGCGCCAGCCAGCACGGATCACCATAGCAGCTCCATGGCCGAAAGGGCGCGCGGGACACGCCTGAGTCGGGTCCCAACCGACGGCGTCGCCGAAGACATCCAGGAACAGCACCTGCCCGATCTCCAGGGGGTATCGGATGACGGTACCCAGGACAATCAACAAGACAATCGGTCGAGGCCACCACACAGCCAACATGCCAACACTTCGCTGCGCGAACTCTCTCTCGCTCTCTCCCTGTCTCCCACTGTCTCATTTTCCAGCCCTCTCAGTGTAGATCTGTGTGTATGCGTGACAGAGCGCGTCGTGTGGATGCTTGGAACAAGGAAGGGGGGCGAAGCGGGCGGAGTGCTCCCCCCCCCTCTGAACTGCAAGTGGTGGGGGGTCGAACCGCCCCCCCCCCACCCTCCGGAGATGCAAGCGGGGGGGGGGTTGGAACCGGGGAGAGGCCCCCCCCTCTCTCAAGGGAAGGGGGGGGGGTTCGGACCGGGGGGGAGCTCCCCCTCTCACCCTCTCCTTTGGAGAATTGGCAAGGGGAGGGGTCGAACCGGCTCCCCCAACCCTTCGCCAATGGCAGCGACGCCGACGCCGACGACGACGACGGAGACGGTGACGGTGACGGTGACGACGACGATGGCAACGCTGCTGACGAACGGAGACGGTGACGCCGACGACGACGACGCCGACGATGACGACGACACTGACGGCGACGTCGCCGGCGACGGAGTACGAGCAGATGGTAGTCAGCTGCTACGACCGCCTCGAATAGAAATGTAGGGTAAGATAGGGCAGAATAGACAAAGGTAGAGTAGATCAGAATAGAGTAGGGTAGATGGGAGTGTAGTCGGGTAACATAGATAACAGTAGAATAGAGAGTAGAGTAGGACCAGGAGTAGAGTGGTATAGAGTAGAGAAGAGTAGGTTAGGACAGGGTAACATGGAGTAGGGTAGAGTAGAACAGAGTATGATAAAGTAGGGCAGATGGTATAGTAGAGTCGGGCATAATGGAGTACATGATAGTAGAGTTGAGTAGAGTGTAGCAGAGTAAAACAGAGCAGAATACATTCGAGTATCGTGTGGGAATAGAATATAGTATAAGTGGGAGTCGGAAACTAATGAATTGGGGCAAGGTAGGGTAGAGTGGGCTAGAGAAGAACCGAGTACAATTGGGTAGGGCTGATGGTAGGTTAGAATCGGTATGAACGAGCATCACATAAGTTATGATGAACGAACAGAGCACAATAGAGTAGAGCAGAGTGATAATATAGTGAGAGTAGAACAGAGTAGGAGTAGGAGTAGGAGTAGGAGTGGGAGTAGGAGTAGAGTAGAGTAGAGCATTGTACAATAGAGTATACTTGGGCATAGGGAGAGTATAGCACAGTATACTGAATAAGAGACGGGTAGGTGGTAGAGTAGAGTCGGGTATACTGGAGTAGAGTAGAGTAGAGTGGAGTAGACTCCACCCCAACCTAATCCAGTCTACTCTTGTCCAGTCTGCCTCAATCCACTTCATGTCAGCCTTCTGATCGATTTGGAGTCTGCGCTGGTTGACATTATTTTGGTCGACAGTCTTTTTGAATTAAATGTAGAGAATGCTTACGTTGCGTGTTTAGCAGTCGGTTGTCCGTCGTCGTCGTCGTTGTTGTCCTTACAGTTCAGTGGAGGGAGACCCATATTCGAACCCCCCGCCCACCCCTCCCCCCCCCCCCTTGCACAGGGTGGGCCCCCCCCCCAGGTTCGAACCCACCCCCTGGCAGTTCAGAGGGGAGCCCCCCCCGGGTTCGACCCCCCCTACCCTGCACAGGAGGGGGGGGCTGCGATTCGAACATCCCCTCGGCGGTCAGGGAGGCTGACGTTCGGGGGGGGAGGAGGAGGCTGGCTCTGAGTGCACGCAACAGGTTTTTCCCGCCCCCGTTCCCACGTCGGCGTCGCTGTCGTCCTTGCAATTCAGAGGGGGGGGGCCCAGCCATAGTCGCCCCCCCCCCTTCCCGCCCCCATTGCACAGGGTGGGTTTTTTGCAATGTTCCCTGACCCCCCTCCCCCACTGGGAATGGAGGGCACATTGGGACCTTCGGGTTGGGGTGTTGGGGTGGTTCGGTGGGCTGGCCTCCCCCCCTTCCCCTCCTGGCCCTCGCGGCCGAGCCCCTTCCCCCCCCCCCCTCGGGGCGCCTGGCGGAAGCGCCGCGGCAGCTTGGCCTCGTCCACGCCGCTGGGCGCCGCCACGCGCAGCCACAGCTCGAGCCACAGGACCTGGGGCACGCGCGCCCGGGGGGGCGGGCCTCTCG